ATAATCACGCAAATATGTATTGTCATTACAATTTTATTATTTTTGCTATCAAATTACAACGAAAGTAATAAAATTTTGAAAACTTGTTCGCAATTACTACCGCTGTAAAATATTTATATGGAGTATAATATATAAAATATTGCGTATAGAGGAATAATACAGTCAAGAAAACTAGGAATAGAAATTGTATTTGTATTTACGTATTTTCACAATCTGATTTTTATTATTTACAACAAGCAAAAATAATAGAATTATAATGACAACATATATTTGCATGATTATTATTATAATATTAAACAAATTCAGAAATAAAATGAAAAAAAAATTCGTGAAATAAAAATTCACGAGCACAGAAGTTCGAGCACGGAACCCTTGGCTTATCAAGTTGACACGCTACCGCTTCGCCGCCGAACCACTTGTAGCTAGGTTACACATTTAGATATATAAGTTCCCATACAAACTTCAGGGCTCTTTTTCTCAAAATTTGCTGCCCATTGGTCTGTAGAACTTGAGCATGGTATGAGGTTTCATCACTACGAAGTCTCATTCGGAACTTCATTTCCCATACCGTTTCCTCCCCTTATGAGTACAAATCCACTGGTCCATCAACATATAGTATGGACTACGCATAGACAGAAAAAATGGTCGGCTGAAAGAAAAAGATAGCGACTGGTGGCGGCCAAGACCTATCTTCTTCTAACCAGCAGCCGTAGTACGAGAGTATAGAAAACATAGGCAATGGGAACATTAGAAAAGGAGAACAATTGGTCGCCGCCTCATTTCGTCTTTGTTTATTTGAGCGGACACTTTTTAAAAGGATCTAAGGTAGGGATCGCGTAGTCCACACTATATGTCAATAGACTGGGCATACCCATGTATTCTATGCCTCGCGATCTTTATATGTGGAATATATGTATATCTACTGATAGCATTTCAATGGGTAAAATCCTTTTGCAGGTGGCTCTTTAATGCGGTTTTGAGGGTTCATGAAAATTCCGGGTTCCTCCTTCTACTTCACTTATATCATATGCGCCTGTGTAATATAATAAAATGTATATAGTATAATATAATCATGCATTTGCTACCTTCCAAGTTAATTAATAGATTCAATAAGCATTGTTCATGAATAAAAAAAAGTAATAATAATCGGGTCTCGAACCCGAGACTCTCGCACGTTGACTCGTTACCATGTCCGCCTATCGTCCTTTCTGCTTATTTCTGTTCCGCCTTTCTGCTTTTTCGTTTTAATTTTTATTTTTGAGCTTTCCTATTCGCACTCGCCTACTTTCTTTACCGTCCTGGGCAAATCTACGTCTACACCACGAGCACGAGGCAGACCGCCAACTCGTTTTTGCACTCTGTTTCCGCCTATCGTCCTTTCTGCTTATTTCTGTTTCGCCTTTCTGCTTTTTGGTTTTTTATTTTTATTTTTGAGCTTTCCTATTCGCACTCGCCTACCTTCTTTACCGGCCTGGGCAAATCTACGTCAACACCACGAGCACGAAGCTGACCGCCAACGAGAGTTCCTGAGCTACCGGACGAGCGATCGACAGAGGCTGGACCAAACTGCTGTTCGTTCCGGAGGACTTCCGTGGAGTCAACGAGACCCGGGATGGGATCCCTCTACTACTACTGCCGGCCTCCCATACGGACCGCAAAAAAGGGCCTTCGCCACTCGTGCCGCCGATAGGAGGAAAGGATAATCCTCTATCGTGCCGCCCAGTCGCCGAACGTTCCCTAGCGCTCCTGTTATCAGTGGCCCCCGGAGAAGAAACCAGGGCCTACTCTTCGCTGGATCCTGCTGCTCGCACCGAGGACTCACGATCGGCCGCACCAAGGATTCCCGCGCTCAGCTCGGCCCTCTCCGCCTATCTTCGGACTCGAGCCGCCTAATGCTATCGCTCTATCGTGCGAATTAGGAATTAATAATTTATGGAGGGGGGCCCCTAGGGCTCTTCCTCTAGCGACGAATTCCGGCTCGTTCACTTACGTTTGGTGCATCTTAGCCTGTGGTTGATTTTGAAAAGTAATTCCGAGTGAACAAAGACGAGCCGGATTCGACCCATTGAGATTACCGAGTTCGAAAACTTATGTTATATTGAAGGACGGAAGGAAGTCTGAGGACCGATTTCCTCGATTCCGTATCTGATATATTTGGTGACCACCATTGGTTACCTTTATTTTGGAGATTTTGTGAATTTAATTGAAGCAATTCCGTCTAGGCACTTTGTCTCGACGGCAAATTTTCTCGCTTACCGGGACTGAATGTCGTTCCAGTCCCTCTAAGTAAAAGGACGATAGTGCCGGATACCGTTATCTTATTTCGATTTCCTTTTATTATCGTAGAGTCCCTATTATATCGAATATATTGTAATTAATTGCGTTCTGCGGTAACTTAGTGCTTTGGAATTGTCGAATATTTTATAGGTTACCGATTATCTTCTCGACCACGTGTAAACACCTAGGGTCCCGGCGTCTCCGGCTTAGCCGTTTCCCGTTGAGCCTGTCTAGTTGTTCTAAGTGAATATCTTTTTGGGCTTGAGAGGTTGATGCGGTTGTGAGGGTTCATAAAAATTCCGGGTTCCTCCTTCTACTTCACTTATATTTTTTATTAATTCTGTGGAACGTATCAACGGCATAAAAATAGACGCGACTGTATAATATAATAAAATGAAAACGTTATAGGAAATATTGAAAATATAATTAAAATGATGGGCGAATGCTAGATCATATAATAGGAAAACATGTAGTGACTTATGTACTTGGCCTCAATAATATGATATCAATACTTTTTGTTATAGGAATTCACAGCAATCCTGTACTTGGCGTAGTTTTTTACACGTAAGTGTTTTTTGGGGGATATTTAGTTACCGTGACGTACAGATTGGGAAAACTGTATTTCAGTTGTTATACACGTTTGGAGTTTGCTTAGAGTACTCTGATACATACGCTTAACCAATCAAAAACGTGGGTATGGTTCGAAGCTTCTCCGTCCAGGTGACGCGTCGACAATAGAAAACACACGCTTTACAGTGCCACCCGGTATAATCCATGCGTCTCACAGAGCTCACCAATATCACGCGTAGTGTATCTATATATACTTGACCAATCAAAAACGTGGGTATGGTTCGACGGTCCTTCGCTCAGGTGACGCGTTTACTCCAAAATAAAATTGGTTTCAAGAATATCGGCCCATTGGCAATCTCCCTATTCATCTCTGTACTAATCATATTTTTATTAGAAACCATTTTTTTAAGGCTGTGGACGAAAATATATGCATTCATGAACATGAAACATACATGTGTCATATGGCTACCACGGCCAGAGACGGCACTGGATTTTCTTTGTAGTCATTCTATTACTGCCAACATTACTATCAGAAAATGTTTTCGTAATATTAATACCGCAATTTCATTATATCAAACAATTATGCAGCAGTTTGGTGTGTAATTATATCTTATTCTTCTTACTATACAAAAGCAAAAGTATAAATTAAAGCATATAACTTTTAGAAGAAATTACTGGTGCAGGCCTCATGAAAGCACATGTTGCAGGCTAGGGATTTCATAGTTTTCGATCTGTCCAAAAACCACACTGAACTCGTGGACCTACTACATATGAATATTTCAGTGGCTGCAACGTGTAGTTTGTCGTTCGCGAAGCGTGTGTCTCTAGTTTATTTAATAAAGTTAATGATTCTTAGGTTTAGCTACATAATCATAAATATAAATGATTTAAACCTGTGTTATGGTGTTGTATAAAACAATTGTGTTTACTTAATCACATATGACATAGTTTGCATTGATTAGTACAGCTAGCGGTTAACTAGTTTTGCTATAATAATTACATGATATGATGGTGTACTTATTGAGAGCAAATTCTGTCTTCCTTCTTGGATTCAGTCTTGGCTTTCTAACTGCTCTCTTTACAGTATTTATAGAGAGTAAATATAGCAGTATAATATATAAAGTGCATCAATCTTGGAAGGAGAAACCAGGAGTAGAATCAAAAATCTTGCATGGATTGAGCATTGATAATTGGAATCAAAATATCTGGTGCGATATATTTTTACATACTGTTACTAACCTTTGTGAATAATACGTAGTGGGAAACACTGTATTTATATTGAAAATTAAGGTAGTATGGTTGAATTATGCTATAACAATAACACTACATTTTTTAATGCCTATTCGGAAGAGCTCAATAAGCTGTGTCTATTGGTTCAAAATACAATTTGTTTACCATCTAGTTAATGAGGAATTAATTATTAAAGTTGGGGAAAATTAAAGTGATGGGAGAAAAATGGTTGTATTTAGTCAGTGTCTTTAATGTTTGCAAAAGTGAACACGTGAACCTATGCATTAGTATATATTTTCAGAGAATTTGATATTGAAGGTGTTATCTGTAAAAAAAATGAATATCATTTACCATAACTTATTGAAAAGTTACTGTTGATCAGAAGGCATGTAGCAGCTGTCTTTCTGTTTCACATGCTTTTTTCCCCATCCATAAACCGTAAGGGAAACAAGGGGGGGAGTGCAGATTTGGGTGTTGAGTAAGCATTATGATTTAGTTATCGAAATAATTATTATTTGCTAGTATTAAATTCACATTTTTAATATATTTTCCTATTTGTTTTATGGAGTTTAACAAATTATATATGGCTATTGATTTGACTTCAGCTAAACTCTATCATACTACCTTAAATATTAAATGCATTTTTAGTTTACATGGTCTTTGAAAAAATTGGTATTAATGACATTAAATAATCTAACTGCAGTAAAGTAGTATATTTAATGTGTATTAGATTTATAAAGTACATAGTTATTTTGTTAAGTATATTTATTTTAGAGAAATATTAATTATATTAGAATTATAAAATCCACCTGTTTTATTCCACCTGTATTATTGTTTAAATATTTTTTTACAAAAGTAGTCATTTTACAAGAGAAACAATACGGTGTAGAACTAATGCTATAAGGGGGTCGTCTAGTGTCTCAGGTCAAAAAAATCAAATTTTTTTTTTTTTTTTATAAATCACATCTTAAACATGATTAGAAGACGTGGGTAAAAGAATTTTTCGAAAACATAAACCGTTCAAAAGTTACAACCGTAAAACGGAGCAGGTACGCGGAGCGCACGGGAGCCCGCTCAGCAGGCTAGGCCAGCGCTGGATTTCGCATCGAATATTCTCGAGCCCGGTTGCTACCTGGCCCTTCTTTGTTCAGATTCAAGAGTAGGAGACGCAGAATTGTTTACAAATCCGTTGCAACATCTGTGTATAGCGTCGGTACATCAGTTTCGTCGTGGCATCAACGCAGCGCACAGCATATTCTTCCTCGCTCTACTTTAAAAAATTATTGGAAATGGATCAAAAGGGAACTCATTCTCAGCCAGTTCATAGAGGTCGGACTGGGAAACAAAAATTTCATGGAAATAAATATACACTTGAAAATGATACGTCATTTACATCTACGTCAGCGAAGAAACTTGGAGCAAAGAAAAATTTTGAAGTGACCATTACTGCAACCTTAGTTTACTGCATTTTGGAGTTTACTAGTATTTTCTCAGCTATTTCTTCGTCTGTCATTTGTAAGAATTGCAAAAGCGAAGTAACTTTTAAACAGTGTGGTGTACGAGGCTTGGGTTTCATGATTTCTTTGGAGTGCGAATGTGACGACACAAAACAAATCAACTCATGCCCTAAGATCGATAATGCATACGAAATAAATCGTCGCATGGTTTTCGTGATTCGTTTATTAGGACTCGGCTTAGATGGAATAAAAATATTTTGTGGACTGATGGATATGGGACAAGGTATCGCTCGAAATACTTATTATGTAGTATTAGAAAATATATACAGGGTGTCCCACGCAACTGGAACAGGCTGTTCCTCCTAAACGGTTGGGAATAGAAGATGATGTTATGAGTGAAAGTTAAATGGCATCAGACGGTGCATAATATGCAACTAATTTTATGCACTTTTGTGTATCGGTGCATTAGAAAAATGCAACTGCACTTTTTTTTTTAATGGAAACCTATATTTTTGACTACACCAGTCGATGCACTTTCTTATGATCTACATAAAAGTACTAACATACTTATGCTCTAAACTTATGCGTTAGGGAGTTATCGATGCTAAAAGTTCTCTGAATTGTTTTGGTCTCTCGGCATGTGTTCCGGAGTACCTACGTTATGTTCCATTACATTCGGCAAGAAATATCCAAAATGACGGAAAACGACATCAGGAATGTGTTACGCAACGTCAAAAAGCGGATAGAAAAATGCTTGAATTGCAATGGAGTACCGTTCGAACACTTGTTATAACGTAAGCACTTAGGAAGACATGCCGAGAGACCAAAACAATTCAGAGAACTTTTAGCATCGATAACTCCCTAACGCATAAGTTTAGAGCATAAGTATGTTAGTACTTTTATGTAGATCATAAGAAAGTGCATCGACTGGTGTAGTCAAAAATATAGGTTTCCATTAAAAAAAAAAGTGCAGTTGCATTTTTCTAATGCACCGATACACAAAAGTGCATAAAATTAGTTGCATATTATGCACTGTCTGATGCCATTTAACTTTCACTCATAACATCATCTTCTATTCCCAACCGTTTAGGAGGAACAGCCTGTTCCAGTTGCGTGGGACACCCTGTATATAGCTGCTTCGGCCGTTTATGAAAATGTGTTGTCCTTGGCGATTACTCAGGAGAAAGAGCTTAATAAAGAAGCCGGAAAACCAGAAGATAAATTTACAGTCTCCGGCGATGGAACGTGGAAAAAGCGAGGTTTTTCATCTTTATTCGGCGTCTCAACACTTATTGCTAAATATACCGGTAAAGTAGTGGATGCGTGTGTGTTGAGTAGTTTTTGCCAGGGATGTTCTTCGTGGAAAAATAAAAAGAAGGATGATCCACAAGGATATGAAGATTGGTTCGCATCCCATGAAGAAAATTGCACGATAAATCATAGTGGAAGTTCTGGAAAAATGGAGATAGATGGCATCGTGAAAATGTTTTCACGTTTAATACATAAACATAGCGTCAAATATTTGACGTATATAGGTGATGGTGACAGTAAGACATTTAAAGGTATTTTAAATGCACAACCATACGGAAATAATCAAGTGGTTGTTAAAAAAGAATGTGTTGGGCATGTTGAAAAGAGAATGGGGACACGGCTTAGAAATGCAAAGAAAGCTAACAAGGGCATAGGCGGAAAAGGCGAGGGAAAACTCACTGATAAAGTAATTGGCGAATTGACAAAATTTTATGGATTGGCTATTCGAAGACATCCGGATTCCACTGCTGATATGAAGAAAGAAATTTGGGCCACTTTTTATCACAAGATTTCCACAGATGATAAGCCACAGCACCAGAACTGTCCTGCACGTGAAAATAGTTGGTGTGGGTGGCGTAGAGCTGAACATCTGGGAATCAGTGATCGATTTGTACACGATAAGAAGCCTCTTTCAGAACACGTTCAGGAAGTTATTAAGCCCATATATGATGATTTATCAAAAGACGATTTACTGACCAGGTGCTTGGGAGCGGAGACTCAAAATAATAATGAGTCACTAAATTCGCTAATTTGGACTTTCGCTCCGAAGCACCTTCATTCTGAAGCAAAAGTCGTTGAAATCGCCACATTTCTTGCTGTTATAATCTTGAACGAAGGGTTTGAATCTATTCTGAAGACGATGCAAGTCATGTGACTGAACATTGGGCTAAATGCTCAAGCGTTCGTCCATCAGCGTGACAGGTCTCGCATCGACCGCTCAGAGAGACGCTTGAGCGATTTCGCAAAACAAGCCCGGATTTTAAACAAAGAAGAAAAATCGGCTTTAAATGACTTCTTCGAAGAAGAGGAAGGTGTATTGTATGGTCCAGGCATAGCAGATTGATGGTGAGACCATTTTTTGATTATGAATTATATACAATAACTTTCATACGCGTTTTTCTCGAAACACGATTTTTTTCAAACTGCTGCCATAAAATCTCAAAAACTAGTTAACTGATTCTGTTCAAATTTGCACAGCATCTTTAGTACATATATAGCTACACGTTGAACTGAAATAATTAAGATTGCTACGTTAGTTTTTTTTTTTAATAGCTAAACAGATCCTAAAAAAAGTACGAAAAATTGAATTTTTTTCTAAAGCGTAAAAAGAAATTATTTTTTGGAATTCTGACTTCATTTTAGTTCCATGTAGAGCCTGAAGTCTCACAATTAAAATGTTTGGTTTTTTAATTTCAGATAAGCAGAACAGTCGGAATCATGGCAGCAGTGGAGCACCTCTTTTTTTATGTGTTCCTGTTGAGCGGTGTACCTCCTATTACATAAAATATATTAGCTTGAAAAAATTCACAAAGTTCCTTAAAATGTCAATAAAGATTATGTACAGATTATAAATTATTTTATTTTAATGGTTTGTCAGAAAAAAATTTCCCAAAAAGCATTTTAAAAAACATCATTTACACTAGACGACCCCCTGCTAAGTTTATTAATCAAAATATGATTATTATTATTATCAGTTTCATGTTATAACAATAATATGAGAAATGTTATCGGAGATTTTTTACTCATCATAGTCATAAGGCTGTTTGCTTGTAGATTCAATTTCTTGGATCAATGGTAGTTTCACTTCTAACTAAAGTCTATCATAATGAGAATTGTCATAAAACAGAATTTGATTAAGTAAAATATTAACATTAAATTTATTCTTTCATATTTAAAATTTTTATAGTCTTTATCTGCAAAAATACAATATATTTTTGTATAACCATTATATTGATCTCAAGGCATAAATGAAATCTAACAATGCTCCAAGGTGGTTTGATTAATAATAACCACATCATTGCTGCTTCTATTTTCATAATTAATTACAAATCACAATACATATAAAATATAGGATCATAAGAATTTCTAAAGGAAAAATATATTAATATTTATTAAAATATTGATTAATGCCATCCTTCAGAAACAAGTTTTGATTATTGTAAACTTATATATTATTATTGCAAATAAAAATTATAATTGAAATCTTGAACTTTTCTACAAGAATATTTTATAATGTCAACTATATGTGTACAATTCTTTCACTGATTTTTATAATATGCCCTAAATCTGAATATACAATATCTGATATATATCTAAATAATATATATCTGCTGTACATCTTATAATAATGAGCATAGTCCAAAGATTTGAATTTAAATTTTCTTTTTGAAGTTTTTAAAATCACTTAAAAAGAGTACCCTGTCATAGTAGAAAACTAGTATATCAAATTTTCTATGAAGAACATTGATTTACAAGATTTGCTGTAACAAAATAATCTATGCAGAAAAAATTCATAATACAGATATACAAAGTTTGATTTTGTTTCTTCAAATATTTATAAACACATACAAATTTCTGTTCCAAGGTTTTATCATAATCCGCATTATTATTCAGTTTATTATCTGAAATATATTTCCTACATATTAGTTTTTATCATTCATTTTTCAATATTTTAAGAAATGTTTACAGCATTATCAATCATACTTGACAACCTTTACTTAAAGGAGTATAGTTTCGTTTAATAAATTGTAAAATTGATCAATGAACATGTTTTCAGGTTTACCTATGATATATGGCTACAATCTAAAAATCGTCAAAGGTTTCCGGAAAATTTAGATAAATTTCTTTATGGACCAGCAAACAAAAACAGATTATTGGAAGCTGATTGGTTACGGTTAACGGTTCATGTAACCTGTGTAGTGTTTGTAGAAAAAGTTCAATTGGCCCTAGCTACTAAAGCTACATGGTCCCAACGTTGTAATAGGGTCTACTTCGTTGCTCATCGGTTGACCGATCCCGACATTCCTATCATTAAATTTCCAACTAAAATAACATCATCGTGGCAACTTTTTTGCGAAACTATTTATTTCGTAAACTTCACAGAAACGATTGAATGGGCAATTTTTGTTAAGGATGATACCATTGTCCTCCCAGAGAATTTGAGATTTCTGGTAGCCCCACTTGATTATAAGAAAGGATATTATCTTGGTCATGCAATTTTTTTGTGGGGTCAAGCTTATAATGTTGCTCAAGCTGGTTACGTTCTTAGTTATGGAGCTTTGACAAAAATTCTTGAAATGTTTAATAATCCGCAAAAATGCGCCTCTGCAGGAAAATATTGGAAGAAGGAAGATTATTATCTAGGTATATACTTTTTGAACATTTATTTAAAATAATTCGATAAGAATATGTATAAAAATAAAATATTAATTTAAACAGAAATGAAGACTGCCCTATATTCATATATACATTTTTGCAACAAATACTCAAAGAATACTCCATAATGTGTCGCCAGAGAGCACCTTAAAAATATTTTTTGGACGATTAAATATAAAATTACATATAAATTTAACCCTCATAATCCGCAAAGGGTCCAGCGCACCCGTACCCGAAATTCAAACGCGTATATGTTTCGGCCCTGCCTGATGAGTGGGGCCAAACCCCACGGTTCTATTAGTTCAAAGATTCCCCATGACAACCCTAGCAATGGAATTGTTCTGCCGGCTATCATTTTGCTTTGCAAAGCCGTTGAAATGAGGACTAGGGGCAATACTAGACAATATCTGATATATATCTAAATAATATATATCTGCTGTACATCTTATAATAATGAGCATAGTCCAAAGATTTGAATTTAAATTTTCTTTTTGAAGTTTTTAAAATCACTTAAAAAGAGTACCCTGTCATAGTAGAAAACTAGTATATCAAATTTTCTATGAAGAACATTGATTTACAAGATTTGCTGTAACAAAATAATCTATGCAGAAAAAATTCATAATACAGATATACAAAGTTTGATTTTGTTTCTTCAAATATTTATAAACACATACAAATTTCTGTTCCAAGGTTTTATCATAATCCGCATTATTATTCAGTTTATTATCTGAAATATATTTCCTACATATTAGTTTTTATCATTCATTTTTCAATATTTTAAGAAATGTTTACAGCATTATCAATCATACTTGACAACCTTTACTTAAAGGAGTATAGTTTCGTTTAATAAATTGTAAAATTGATCAATGAACATGTTTTCAGGTTTACCTATGATATATGGCTACAATCTAAAAATCGTCAAAGGTTTCCGGAAAATTTAGATAAATTTCTTTATGGACCAGCAAACAAAAACAGATTATTGGAAGCTGATTGGTTACGGTTAACGGTTCATGTAACCTGTGTAGTGTTTGTAGAAAAAGTTCAATTGGCCCTAGCTACTAAAGCTACATGGTCCCAACGTTGTAATAGGGTCTACTTCGTTGCTCATCGGTTGACCGATCCCGACATTCCTATCATTAAATTTCCAACTAAAATAACATCATCGTGGCAACTTTTTTGCGAAACTATTTATTTCGTAAACTTCACAGAAACGATTGAATGGGCAATTTTTGTTAAGGATGATACCATTGTCCTCCCAGAGAATTTGAGATTTCTGGTAGCCCCACTTGATTATAAGAAAGGATATTATCTTGGTCATGCAATTTTTTTGTGGGGTCAAGCTTATAATGTTGCTCAAGCTGGTTACGTTCTTAGTTATGGAGCTTTGACAAAAATTCTTGAAATGTTTAATAATCCGCAAAAATGCGCCTCTGCAGGAAAATATTGGAAGAAGGAAGATTATTATCTAGGTATATACTTTTTGAACATTTATTTAAAATAATTCGATAAGAATATGTATAAAAATAAAATATTAATTTAAACAGAAATGAAGACTGCCCTATATTCATATATACATTTTTGCAACAAATACTCAAAGAATACTCCATAATGTGTCGCCAGAGAGCACCTTAAAAATATTTTTTGGACGATTAAATATAAAATTACATATAAATTTAACCCTCATAATCCGCAAAGGGTCCAGCGCACCCGTACCCGAAATTCAAACGCGTATATGTTTCGGCCCTGCCTGATGAGTGGGGCCAAACCCCACGGTTCTATTAGTTCAAAGATTCCCCATGACAACCCTAGCAATGGAATTGTTCTGCCGGCTATCATTTTGCTTTGCAAAGCCGTTGAAATGAGGACTAGGGGCAATACTAGTGTGGACTCGGCGTTGAAAACTTAAAATGATTTCTTTGTGTCTTTTCCGACCGCATCTTGCGACGTGTCAGCAACTGTTTACGAGACCAATAAACCACAAATTCCGTCAAACGAAAGAACACGACTAATAAAACGAATTTGTTGTTCAGTGTGCCCCCATGCGGCCGACCGCAAAACAAAACAGCAATGCTCGGACTGCCGGCGACCTATGTGTGATGAGCACCATGTGCGGTAGTCCCGATGAATAATACTTTTGTAATTTCATTATGTAAAATCATATATTTTTTCAATAAAAGTTAATGTTTTCCAATAAACAATAGTAAACAGTCATTTGACTTCGAAATTTGTCCCAAATATGTCGTTCCATACTATTCTCTAAAACTGCACTATAGTCGCTATTTAACGTTTAAAATAATTATACTTTTTGAAACACATAGTAGGTCGAGTCTGGCACCAAGTACAGTCAACCCGCCGTACAGGGTACGGCTCGTCCAAACTCGTTACTCGAAACATCTCTTGTACCTGTGTTTCGACTCAAATATCTTATGAACGCCTATGCGTGAGAAAAAGTTATTGATAAATTCACTATAGGAATCGAGGGTTCTGAATCGATTGCCACCAAGTTCAATACGATTAGTGTACAAGATCAGGGCGTATTCACACGGCGAGCGAGATGATTTTATTTCAGATCCGTCGTCGTCGTCGTCATCGTTGTCGTCGTCTTCGCACGTCTATCTACTTTTTTACACGACAGATAGCGCTGAATGCTTTGCCTTCTTTACCTATTTGTACTTTGGATGGTGTTGGTAATTTACGAGTCAAATACACTCAAATATACAATCAAATACACTTTGTACGTGAAGCTACCGTTCACACTGAATTTCCAGTTAGTATAAAGCTGCTTTCACAATAGTGTAGAACTATTAAGTCTTTAATAGCATTCATGCGGAGCGCGTGTGTATGGGTGTACGTGTGTGTATGGTTCGAAGTAATTCCTTGTATTTTAGCTACTGTTCACACCGAATTTCCAGTTAGTATGAAGCTGCTTTCACAATACTGTAGAATTATTAAGTCTTTAATAGCATTCATGCGGAGCGCGTATGTATGGGTGTACGTATGTGTATGCTTCGAAGTAGTTCCTCGTATTTTGGATAACAGTTTTTAGAGATATAGGATGTCCAGGTGTTCGCGTCCGTAATTTCCTGTATGTAGGTGTCGGATGTGGAAGTCTAGGGTGTCCAGGTGTTCCACTCCGTAGTTTTCTGTGTCTAGGTGTCAGACATGGAAGTCTAGGGTCTCCAAGTGTTCTGCTCCATAGTTTCTTATATCTAGATGTCGGGCGTGGATGTCCAGGGTGTCGAGGTGTTCCTCTCCGTAGTTTCTTGTATCTAGGTGTGGGACGTGGAAGTTCAGGGTGTCTAGGTGTATCTCTCCATAATTTCTTGTATCTAGGTTTCGGATGTGGAAGTCCAGGGTGTCCAGAAAAGTGTGCAACGAGTGACGCTTCGCTTAAATTATAGTATCCTCTCTGTTGTTCGCACGGCCTGAGGTATGTAAATAATCCAGCACACTCTCCTCTCTTACGTTTACCTCACGGCTTCAACAAGCTGGACACCATTAACGACGCTTTCATGCATTTAAGATTACATTTTCTTTAAAAATTTGTATATATCTTTATGCATTTCTAAAAAAATGGACTTACAAATTAAATTTGTATGCCATTAAACGTTTTCGATAATGCAATATATTTTTCAGATTAGCAGCATCACAATGCATTTACATTTTATATCTGTAAAAATATAGAATTCAGTACTTAGAGCTTCTATATCCCGTTGAGCAACAAAAACTTGTGATATCCCCCGAAAAATACTTACGTGTACAAAACTACGCCAAGTTCAGGAGTGCTGTGTATTCCTCTATCGAAAAATATTGAAATCATATTATTGAGGCCAAGTACATAAATCACTATATATTTGCCTATTACATGATCTAGCACTAGCCCATCATTTTAATTGTATTTTAAACATTTCCTATAACGTTTTCGCTACTCTTCTACATTACTACTGTTTCCCGCATTTAATTATGATTTAATGGTCATTTAATAATTATTAAAACTTTAGGTCATTCCTTATCGAGTACTACTTGGCTGGTCCGTGCCAGGAATTTCAAAGTACTTACTTTAAACGTACTAATAGTACTCTAATACTATATGTTTATTATTAAGCTTTTATCCTGATTATTTTTGACGAGTTTTGTTAATATGCTCTACATAGAAAGTTGACACTGGTTTTGAGTTTGATAACTATCATAATGAACGCTTTATATCAAGAAATGCACGCACCTGCCAAGCAGTACTCGATAAGGAATCACCTAAAGTTTTAATAATTATTAAATGAGCATTAAATCATAATTAAATACGGGAAGCAGTAGTAATGTAAAAGAGTACGAAAACGTTAGAAGAAATTTTGAAAATATAATTAAAATTATGGGCCAGAGCTAGATCATGTTATAGACAAATATGTAGTGATTTATGTACTTTGCCTCAACAATACGATTTCAATACTTATTGATAGAAGAATTCACAGCACTCCTGTACTTGGTGTAGTTTTTTACACGTAAGTATTTTTTGGGGGATCGTATCTATAATATCGTACATTTCTGCCATGCGCCAAAAGTCTACGCTATGTAAAAGGAGTAATGAGTGTAATAATATGAACATAGATGTCTCATTACACATCGATATACAGGGTGTCCCAGAACTATTTTTGGACCGGAAAGTGGGCGATGGCTGGAGGAGCCCGGAGTACCCTTCCACAAACCGTTTGCCAAAATTCGCAATAGTTTTTAAATGAGAAGCATTTAAGTGGGACCAATCAGAACGAAGGATTTCCGCGGGTCATAGCAACGTGGCGGGGGGAGGTACACTCATGGATGCCAAAGATAGCTGCTTTGGAATAGCTTCCCACAAATTCCGCGCTTAGCAATTGTTTCACAGGCCGAGTTGCACGTGTATGTACCTGCTGCGTCAGTCTAAGCTAAGACATGCCCATGCCCATATCGGTAGTTTGTCAACGAATCCTAATGACGCTCGCTTGGCCTGTGAAACA